TTGGTGTAGACGCGCGCGTTCTTCCTCTTCATGTTGGCGTTGTTGTTGCCATTCTCGAGCTAGCGCAAAGGCTTCTTCGGCTTGACGTCATCGGCGCTCTTGAGAGTTGGTGTCTCGAAGTGGATTGAGGTTTGCTTGATGGTCGGTGCGCGCAGCTCGACGAAGAGTGTTCGATGTCGGTGTACTTGAGCCAGAGAGGGTAAAGTCGGAATGGCGACTTGAATGGCTCCTTCTTGAAGTGGAGGAAGAGCGATTGAGCAACAAAGCGCGAATTTCGTCCATCCTTGCATCATTCTCTTGCTTGTGATCATCGAGCTTGTTGTCAAAGTAGTCCCTCGTACGTTGCTCGGAGAGTCGTAAGTCGGCGGCAAGGTTGTCGATGCGTTCACTCATAGCTTGTTGCTCTTGATGTAAAGCACGTTGTGCACCAAAGAGGTGACTCTTGGTGACGAAGGAGGTCATGTCGTTGTCTTGCTCCATGAAGAGTGGGTTGGTAGAAGTACTTGGCCTATCCATCATTCCAAGACAAATGTGAGTGGTAGAAAGAGAAGAACGAATACCAAATGTACCTTGACCGAAGTTGAAAGTGAATCGATGATCACTCCAATGTAGGACAAGGAAATAGCCCAATTGGTACGAATTCTCGTCGGTTTCTCACACCTACACAAGTAAAAGCTTATGGCGGAGCTTGGTTAGGATGGTGGCACAAAAATTTGATGCAATTTGTAAGTGAGCTTCAATAATGTTGGAAAAGATTCGCAAGATGCAATGTAACAAGTAGACCAAGCATATAAGGTACACAGAAACACACGCGCAAAAAGATAAGTGGGGTTGTGCAACCAAGGGTGAGCCAAAGTGTGGAATCCACAAAAATGCTCTTGTTGCACAACACTAGAGAGACGCTAGCACGATTGCATGATAGGCGGATACAAAAACTTGTGCACAACCTACTTAGCAAAAATGCAACGACTTCTATCCCAAATATTTTGTATGCAAGGTGTGGCTATGATACGATCCAAGATGATCGAGTATGACAATCTTAATGTTGTATGATGCTATGGTTCTTGCTTAAAAGCTCTTTGCTTATCTTTCCTCTTTGCTTAAAAGCTTGTTTGGCTCTTTGATGTTTGAGCTCTTTTCTCATGCAATGCTTGACGAACCAAGATAGCAAGTTAGTATGCAATGACAATTTGGTGACACAAGAGATGATACCAATATAGGCAACAATGACGTATGGATGCTATGGGAAGTATGATCACTAATGTGCACAATGTCTCGTTGCCGGCAATACTCAATGGCTAGTCTCGATGGGTAAGCAACGCAAATGAGTAAGGCTATGATGGCTATCAATGTAATGAGTAAGGCTATGATGCTACCAAGATGAGGTTACCGGTCTTGCTTCCGGTATGGTGTCAAAATGGTGGCACGAATACCAAGTCGTAGTCGAGGTGGTCGTTGTTGATGACTCGTCCGTGGCAAAGATGAGCGGCGGTGTTGTCGATGCCGAACCGTACCTAAATAGCCGAAGCACAAAAGGATACGGTATCGCAACTCAAATTCTCAAACCTCGAAGTGGCAACACGTGTCGGAGGGCGAAACTGGCACAAAAAGGGGGGTAGTATGCGGAAGTGGTGATGGTGTATAAGTGGTTGGCAAAGATGCCAGTCGGTTTCAACTGAAACTGGGTGGGGCGGTAGTACCGCTTGTGAAGGCGGTGGTACCGGTTGGTGCCTTAGCGGTAGTTCCGCTCGTGGGGGCGGTAGTACCGCTGGGGTCGGAAAAATCGCAAGATCTGGATCGGGGATGGGTTTTTGGGACGGAAAGGGATGATTTCGTTGTCGAAATTCGAGCAATTTCAAGGATGGAATGTGGAGAGAAATGGGGAGATGGTAGATCCACTTGAAACCAAAGCAAATCCACGGATCAGATCCAACAAAACATCAACACACCAACAAATCACAAAAAAATTGGGGCTATTTTTGGTGGGGATTTTCGGATTAGGACGAAAAACAACAAAATTAGGCTAGAAACACAACGGGGAGGCTCCGAAATCGTGATCAACCTTGCTCATGATACCAAGATGATGTAGGATAGAGACCCTAATCGCCCGATCTTTCATGAAAGGAGCGGATCCCGGGGAAAATGCGAAGAACACGGGGATGAACGGAAGGAAAACACAAGAGGAAAACACTATACCGACACGAATAAGTCACACATGGGTTAGATCCTCGAGTACATAGGACGATACACGAATCCACGGACAAGTAGGGACGATACACAGTAACCGGTTCTTCTCCGTGAGGAGGTCTTGAATCCACAAGGGGATCTTCCCGTAAAGGGGTCTTGAATCCAAGGTGGATCTTCTCCGTAGAGGGGCCGCGGTCTCTCTCGTGGAGTAGATCCGATATGGATGAGCAATGCTCTATCTCTCAAATGAGCTAAACCAATGCTAACCCTAGAAAGTTGTACGGGATAGAGTATTTATAGTCTAGGTAACGAAAGGGTACACGGGCCTTGGCCCAAGTGACTGCGGGCAGGCAGGGCCGGTAGTAACGGTCAAGGGGGTGGTTGTTCCGCTGGGAGCTCATGCATGGCGGAAGTACCGGTCCTGGAAGGCGGTAGTTCCGCTGGGAGGTCTGGCGCTGGCTTGCGGAGATGGACGTCGAAGGGGCCAGCGGTTGTACTGGTTATCGGGGCGGCAGTACCGGTCTTTTGGTAGTACCAGTACATCCGGTGTAGTGTCGGCCTTGCACCGCTCGATCACAGAAGGTAGACCGGTTGTTGGGCGGTAGTCGGCCGGTTGTTCTGTCCGGGCGGTGGTCGGGCGGTTGTTCCGGTCCTTCAGGGCTGGGCAGAATGTCTCCATGCTCTTGATGTCCATCTTGCACCGTTCCATCTCCTTGGTTGCTTACATGGTACCTAAGCACACAAAGAAACTCCGATTGAGGTAGTAGCCATGTCTCACGTGGGTCAAAGGGAAGTTCAACAAGGAGAGAGTTAACCTCGTTCTCGATGGCTCTCGCACGGGCTCTTGTCATGGGTCTCAGTGGTGTCGTGGGAGATGTAGGTAGGTCCATGGGGATGGCCTTGGGATGCTCCGCATCAGTAGAGCACCTGGTGCGACAGTGGTCGGGCGCCGAGAATACTCGAGGCAGGGGAACCAGCATGGAGTAGGCGTGCACGACGCCGGTCCATGGGTTTTGGTCGGCATACCACAGGGCCGGCTGATAGGCCTGCTGCAGCGGGCGGGGTGCTCCTCCCTGAGCGCCCGCGCCCTCCTGCTTGCGGCCGCCACGACGACCTCCCCCATTGGCCACCGGCTGGGGCGGCGGGAAGGGAGAAGCCGGGGCGGGAGGGAAGCCGCGCGAGAAAGCAGGCACCACCGGTTGGGACGGCGTCGGGCGTGGAGGTGGCGGGGCTTGACCCCCGCGGGTGCCGGCGACGAGGGCGGTGTGGGTCGCCCGAGTCCGTGCCATCCTCATCCGGCGCTCCTCCAGCTTGAGGTACGCCACCACCTTAGTGAAAGTAGGCTCCGGGATGAGGGTGAGGTTGGACGCGGCGTTCCCAAAATTCTTGTTGAGACCGGCGATGAGGGTGCTGATGAGGAGCTCGTCGTCAACCGTCTCCCCGAGATCGCGGAGCTCATCGGCAAGATTTTTCAGACGCATGCAAAAATCGTCGATGGACGAGTCAAGCTGCTGGCACCCGTAAAACTCACCGTGGAGGAGGACCTTGCGCTGTAGCTTGTTGTCGGTGAAGAGGCCATTGAGCTTGGTCCAGACGGCGTAGGCCTCGTCGTCGTCATCCACCATTGTGTGGAAGAGGTCGGTGGAGATGGTAAGGTAGAACCAACGGATGATGATGGCGTCGAGGATCATCCACTTCTCGTCATGGATCATGAGGTCCGAGTCCATGGTGCCGTCGACGTGGCCATGAAGGAGGTACTCACGGAACCCCAGCGAAAAATACCGCTTCCAAGCAGAGTAGGAGGCGGTGGATTGATCAAGTTTCACCAGGACGCGCTCGTGGATGTTAAGGTCGTGGACGAGAGTGACATCGGGACCGGCGAACGGGTTGGAGACGATAGAGGAGGAGGAACTCATGGCTAGGGTTAGGGTTGGCAGCACGTGGCGACGCAAGGTGGAGGTGGTGCGGCGCGGATGGCGGCGCGGGGTGGGATGGCGGGGGTGCTGCGGCGCGAGAGAGCGACGCGGGTGGAGGGAAGGAGCGGAAGCGGGGCGGCGATCGACGGCTACCGCGGCGTAGAGAGGCGGCAGCGGCGGAAGGCGGCAGCGGCGGAAGGCGCAGCGGTGGGAGGCAACGGCGGCGACCGAGAGGACGTTGGAGGCTGGTGGCGGCGACGGGGAGTAGCGGCGGCGCGTAGAGGCATGGCGGTGGCGGCGGCTTAAGGTTTAGGATCGTGCTGCGATAGATACTATGTAGAAGGCAAGATGTGGGTTGTGCAATCGTGATGTATTGATCGGTGCACCAGACACATATCGAGAATCGAGAAATAAGGATGACGGTCATCCTCCAGCCTCCTCAGCCGTTCGGGTTTCTGGCCGTTGGATCTGGTGGCTTGATCGGATTTGGGCCGTCGGATCGAGCCCTGGGTTGCCCTCGCCCGTTGGATCGAAGAGATGCTCCTTTAGCAATGAACAGTTTCACCCCACTGTAAAGATCCTGTGCCACCACACGTAAATCTTGCCCCTCCGCCGAGGGCATTTTCATAATTTCGCTATGGGGTATAAAAGCCCAATGCCCATAGGGTTTTTTCCCAATTGTCTTCCTCCCTCTTCCTGTTCACGGAGGGGGAGCCGCCGCCGCCCCTTCCCCTTCCAAAGCCCCGCCCCCTCGCGCCGCCACGGTGACTTCACCGGCGTCTGAACCCAGGCGGCGGCGGGCAAGAAGCAGCAGAAGACCACCAAGGCGCCGAGGGAGAAGAAGGCGAAGGCGGAGGACGAGAGTGCATGGAGGAGCCCGATGAGGAGGAGGGCGAGATGGCCACCTTCGGGGAGCAGCAGAACGAGGAGGGGCACGCGGCGGTGGCGGCCAAGAGGCGAATGGCGCGGCCGACCAAGAAGGCCAGGAAGCCAGAGTTCCTCGGCGAGCCCGTCCCCGCCGACGAAGCCTGCGCCAACTGGCCGCAGTGTTACCACTGTGCCTCGCCCATGAGGTACGCCCTGGATCCGTCGCCCATCCGACTCGCCCTGACCCTTCTCCTTCCCGCGCCGGTCGGGCTGATGTGGACGCGGTTGCGAGCTTGACGTGAGACCAGACGCAATGAGGCAGCGTGGAGACAGGCCACCGCCAGTCGTCCACCACCAGAGCTTTTGCCCTGTTCGCCGTCTCCTCCATGACCTCGTCCGCGTGGACGGCTGCTTTCTGGAGGGCCGCCACTGGGATCCACAGGGTGCGCCTCCACCCCCCTGCAGCTCCATCACGTGTGATGGTAAGCGACCTGAACATAGCAATCAACAATTCCCCCTGCAGTTCCATGCGTGCTTCATTAGTGATTCCTAACCAATTAGCAATTCCATCTAATCAGTGGAATTGAGTTAGGAGTACTCACTGTATTTCTGCTAATGGAATTCAGTATGTGTGAAAAATTCAGTCTGCATTTCTGCTAATGGAATTTTTGGATAGTTATGACTTTTGTAATCCAAGAGATTGTTCTTCATTCTTCTTGCATGAGTAATTTATACTGTATGATACATTATCAAAGAGTACTGTCGAGATAATTTAACTGAAATCTGAGTTTATAAGCTCAAATTGTTCCAGTTCAGTTTATAAGCAATTTTTATGATCACTGTTACTGCAATTTTCATGATCCAATTTCAGTTTGTAAGCTCAGATTGTTCCTGTTTAAGTTCCAAATTGTGCTGGAGTCCTCACTGTACTTGTTCCGGAGCAGGGCGCCGATCTGCAGGCTTGAGCTTGAGCTCCTTGGCGTCCTTCCTCCAGTTGGTGGCCCAGCTCGCCGGCGTTCTGAGTACGGCCTCGGCTACAAACTCTGACGGTGAGTTTCAAACCCAATTCCGCTGCCGCACTGATCGATCTGGCCTTGTTGGGGATGCTCCCTGGTAAAATTTGAAGACAATCATAGAATAACTGTATTCATATTATGAATGGTTTCTGCAATTTACACTGGGGAATTCAGCTATTGAGCAGATTATTGGTTTAAAATTTGCAGGATAACTGTACCATACCCATTCCAGTGGGGAGCACTGACTTTTCATGCTGCTGAATGCTTTGCCATGATGGCAGCTGCTTTTGTTGCTCTTGTGGAGGTACTTTGGATAACTGATGATATTTAATAAGTAGATACAAAGCATTGCTATGTCTAAGGCATCAAGTATCCTTTGAATAACACTCCCTGTTTTGTTCTATTTTTCTACTGCTGACGGGTGTGCGAATTAAGGTTCAGGGTGTGCCTTGGACTCAGGATTCTTACTATTTTTGTACTGGATGTGGTGGTCTTGTTAGTTAGTCAGTGCCTCGTATGGTTAGGATGCATATCCGGTTAGAACAGAGTCATTCATGCATTCTTATAATATTTTCATGTGTATTTATTTGTCGGAGGTGTGTTTAGCTGGTTTCCCTTCGGCCATTTTCATTACATAAAACAAACATTATGGTCGTCATGTAACCAAAGTATTCATTGCACATATTTTGTGCTATACAACTTGTTCTTTCTTTCCTACAAAACTCCTATTTTTTATTTGAAGAGCACCAACGAATTTTCATTACACATGAAAGGAATTACTGCGACTACCTGACACCTGAGTATTCAGTGTTTGTCTTTCAAGGTCTACGTCTTAAAAATAAGTTCAACTATTCATTATACAGGGAATTACAATTGGTAGCATGTAACTTGACTCCTATCTGTCCCATAAAGTAGTGGCATGGTTGCCGCTTGTCCCTGATCTTCACTTCATTTGTTGAAGTCCTTGCTTCTTTGTTTCTGGGTCGTATTAGCTGAATAAATGCAAAATGCACGATGAAATTTTCTGTAGGGTGCTGCTGCGGTATGTCAAGAGGAGATAATTATATTTTCCTATCCTTATGTTTACTCCTAAAAATAGCTTTTGATTTTGTTCTTCTGCCAGACCTTGAAGCTCCCAAAATGCAAACACCAGGAGATAGGGATGTCAAACTGAAACAAAGAAGCCCATGACCGGTCTCATAATTTTACCAATAGTACCGCCATCAGCCGCAAAGACGGCAAGCTCAAGCAGGTGAGCTGCGTGTCTCTTATGCTGCTGTTTTATATCTTGGCTTGAAGTTCACAACCAGTTCGTAGTTATTCTCAAATAATTTTTCCTTTTGTTGTGCAGATGTGCGCATGTTTTTCTGTTTAATGAGAATCCCTTTTCAAATTGTTTTGATGTTTTGTGTTACTGATTTTTCTTCCTTTTGATGTCCTCTGCATCCTATGGTGGTGAGATTATGTTATGAATTGGTGGTTGATAACATAACATAACACTGTGTTTAGTAGACGAATTTCCTTGTATTGCTCACATATTATTGGTTATTGGTCCATACATACAAGATATTTTCCAAGAATTGGAATAACAATTGGAATAAAGGATTTATCTTTCTCCACTTCGAAGAAAAATACAGGCAACCCTTCCTCTTATTAATCATATGCATCCGTAATGTGTCTTCATAGCCTGTGTCATTTGGTTACGTAAAGTTTTCTGCTCTGCAATTTACTTTTGTTTGTCTGGTAGGCCAATGAAGGTTGAGGTTCCGACTTCTACTGGAATACAGTTCTTCTAATCTCTATACAGGGCTCAAGAAATAGAAAGCGACTCGTGCTTCAAGTACCAAGAAAATAATTTCCTTGCAAGATAAGACAAATCTATAAGCTTCTCCATTTGTAACGCCATCGCTAGCATAAATGTCATGTTCTCTGTGATCTTCTTTTCAGTTCTTCATGTGTACATTATTGTGCTGCTGGTCTATTTACTCAATTCTCTTTTGATTCTAGAAGCCTGATGCTTTGCCTCTTTGAAATAAAACTAATATGTCATTGCTAGCATGTATGTTGTGTTTCTTTGGATTCTTGCGAGCATTTAGGGTTAAAATATATTCTCATTGGAATTGATAAATCAGTGTGCCTTGCATGACACAGCGCTACGGCTATGAAGATGACGTGTTGAAGAAGCACCATCAGCTGTCACCATCCTCCTCGGCATGCAGAAGACACTCCCAAGTCGTCTCTGTACTGCATCCAGGTATACCAGATGCTACTACTGTTCTCAACTATATCTATTGTTACGTGATTAATTAAAACTCAGCTCTTGAGGTTTACATAGATGGACTGAAAAGATAGTATAATTTTACAATGTATTCCATCTTCTTTTGCACCTATTAACTTTTATTGGCCTTTATTTGCATTTGTCCTCAAATAAATTGGACATGACCTGATCTAAGCCATAATTCATCATTGATTGCATAGGAGTAGGCTGGGGTGACAAACTGTCCAATACCGCACCCTTTCTTATCAAGTTGGTTACATGTGTTTGTTACATTCATTTCATCTGTAATAATCTCTCTCTTCTTTTGTACAATTCCTTCTGGTTAAGATTTCTTATTGTTGTGGCAAATCTTAATTGCTTGGGTTGTCACTGCTGTGAAATATATTGCTATATTTTAAGATTGGAGAGTTTCTTTTCAAACTCAGCCTATGTCATGAGCTACTTGGTTCCTTCTCATTGGAACCGGCGCAGCAGGGCTTAAAGAGTTTGCCAACATTGGTCAATTGTGGCAGGTGAGAGTTTGCCAAGGCAGCAGGGCTTAAAGAGTTTCGGATATGTGTCTTCGCCTTTGAGATTGAAAGGGAGGAACCGGCGCTCACTGTCCATAGGCTTTAATAAGGGTAAGGTATAAGATTGCAAGTGCAATGTCTATACATAGATGATGATATACCATATATCTCATAAGTTGTTTCTATCAGGATTGTGCGAAGTGGCACCTACGAAATTTATCGACAAGGAAATTGAATGTAGCCACCTATTAGTATGTTGAGCAGCTATGGCTCGATGGTTGTCTCTCTCCTTTATTATGCTCCTGTTCTTATTACTTCCTCTCCAATTATCGCGCTTTTGGTATCGAACTTCATGTCGAGTGGCTGCACTTTTTGTTTCAAACTTCAAGTCGAGTGGCTATCTTTTTGTGGTCTTATGAACAGACTGAAATCAATTCTACCTTATAATCTCATGCCAATATTGACCAATGTTATGCCTCTCTCCTGCCACAATTGAATGTTTCTTTTCAATTTATTGTTATCCTGCATGAATGCATATGCTAAACTTGAATTCCTACTAACTTAGCATTACATTCTTGAACAAAATGTAGGAACCGGCACCCTCGCGCCAAGGCGCGATATCGATCTAGTATATGAGTATAGAGGAGGGCTACAACATCAACTATACAAAAGAAACAGGAGATAGGCCCTATACACAAATATGCACATACACAATATACTTAACAGTAGGCACTCTCAACTTTCGTAGAGAGCTAGCGACCGACAAACCCCTTCGTCGTGATCTTATCCTTAGATCAGCAACATGTACTGTATATATGAACAACATCACAAGGATAACGAGATAAACTCGCAAATCAAAGCTTTTGCGGTGGAACAAATGTTTAACCTTTTGATTTTGCTTTAGTTCTATCAGCGGGCCTTAGTGATGGTAGTATGACAGTATAATAGGGATACAGCACGTGCAGTGTATTCGATCGCTCACTGTATCTGTCTACTCAGCCGACCAACTTTCCAACGTCCTACTAACCTCGTTTGAAAAGCAGAGAATAAAAGACAGAGCACTAGTGTTTGAGCCAATATCTACAGTAGACCCGGTCATGGACAACCCGGCCCGCCAGCCCGAACCTGAAGCCCGACATTCGGGCCGGGCTCGGACTCCATTTTCTAACCCGAAGCCCGGCCGGAAGCCCGAATAAAGCCCAAAATATGTATAAAAATATATTTTATTCAAAATATAGGTATAATAAATTAATATAATATCCTGAAAATGATTAATTTAATTAAAATATGTCACTGTTCATGTACTTCAGGCCGGCCGGGCCGGGCTCGGGCTTGGGATTTTATCTTCGGGCTTTGTCAAGCCCGGCCCGAACCCGACCCGGCCCGACGTTTGCCCGGGTTTAATCTACAGGAAGCTGTGCTAAGCTTGTTTCGACCTAACCAAGCCCTTATGTGATGACCTTAGTTCCATAGTGTGCAGATTTTGGTGGATCCATATGGATAAGGTCAATAAAATCCACTGGACAAGTTGGGAGAAACTATCTAAACCGAAGAGTGGGAGGCTTGGGATTCAGAGACATGTACTCTTTTAATATGGCCATGCTTGCAAGACAAGGATGGCGGCTACAGCAAAACCCTTCCTCTCTTTGTGCACGAGCACTTGAAGCAAAATATCATCTCGGCCATAACATAATTGAAGCGACGCCAAAGAATGGGATGTCTTATGCATGGCGCAATATTTTAAAAAGTGTACAGCTCCTAAAGAAAGGCATAATTTGGTGAGTTAGAGATGAAAAAAATATTAATATCTGAAAAAAAACCTGGCTTCCAAGAGGCATCACCAGAAGACTTACCACACTACAAGGACGAAATTTAGTCACAAGGGTGGCGGAACTTATTGATCCAGTAACCAATGGTTGGGATAAAGACCTAGTGTGGCAAACTTTCAATGTAGAAGATGCTAAGATAATCCTACAAATCCCCAATTATGAGCATACAAAAGACTGTGTGGCATGACACTTTGACAAGAAAGGGATTTTTTCCAGTGAAGTCGGCATACAAAGTAGCAGGAGATTGTGTAGAAAGGGAATCAAGTTATGGCCAGTCATCTAGTTCTGCAAGTAGAGGACAAACAACTAATTTTGAATGGAAGAAAATATGGGCCTTACCTCTGCCGAATAAAATTTTGCACTTCCTATGGCATATGGCAACATACAACTTACTTTTAAGAATGAAATTGAGAAATAGAGGTATGGAAGTGGATACTAGATGTCCAGCTTGTAACAGATACGATGAGGATGGGGGGCACTGCTTTCTGAAATGTAAGAAGGTGAGGAGGCTTTGGTGGCTAGCCCAAATGAAAGAAATTGAAGAGAAACTTCTAAAAAGCAGTGACTCACTAAGGGCGTGTTCGGGAGCCCTCCCGCTTCTCAAATCTTCAACTCCACGTGAGGAGTGTAGCCGAACGGTCAAAATCCTAGCTATGGGCGAGAGAAGCTGGCGATCAGCGCAGTGCAAATTTTGCGGAGTCGAGGAGTTGAAAAACCCGTGCTCTCCAAAAACAGGGAAGTAGGAGTTGAGGGAATTACGTGCGTATGCCACCGCAAAGTGAACTTGCAGCGTACCGGTTCGCTAGCTATTCCTCTCCCTGAGCCCCGACACAGCGCCTCGGCCACCATTCCTCTCCTGACGAGCAAACCCTAGGCGTCGCACGCCGCCGCGAGGAGGCAGTCGCCAT